ATGCCCTCAAGCCAGTTACATACAGAGGGAGCAGGCATGGGAGGCTGGGCCCTTAGGACAACAGCAGTCCTGAGCGGGTGGGCATCCGTTTATGCCTGGAAGCAGAGGAATGGATGATGGCAGAAAGTGCTCAGAAAGAACTGGAAGTTTGAGATGGCTCCCAAGTTCTTGCCCGGTGCTCGCGCCTTCTCAGGCCCAGCCAGACCTAGGCTCTCCTGCTTGTCTAAGGGGTAGCAAGGGCTAGAGCGAAAAAGTCCCCCCAGAAGCAGCCCCTCATGGGGGAGGTAGGTGCTGGCTGAACGCTGACTGGGCCCTTTGCTTTGTACCCATCCTGCTTATTCCCAAACAACAGAAGTGCTACTCAGCCGCCTGGTCAACCCCATTATGCTCTTGCCACAAAGTGCTGAGTCCAGGGGCGGCCCTGGCCCCATGACCTCACCCCTCCCGCACTGGGCCTCATCCTGTGAGGCTCCCTGGGCCCAGAGGGAAGGCCAGAGGGTCCAAGCCATCCATAAAATTCTACTGCGCATCTACCATGCTTGGCATGCAGTCCTCATGTTGAGGAGCCCAAGGTTGAAACTGACCATGTTACATTTGGAGGGTCGTCTCATTCCCCTTAATGTCATCATCACCTCCTAATCTAATAGCCCATCCCACCGGATAGCCAGTTGCCTCACCTGCTCATGCAGTGAGTGTGTGGGCCGAGAACATAGTTCACAGTCCATGTCCCCAGTAGATCAATGCCCTTCAGAAATTTAGACTGACAGACTGCGCTGCTAAAACTGATTAAATAAAGAAAGATGCTGGGAGAAAAGAAAAACTAAATCGATGTGGTCTTTTCAAAACTCAAAGAAAAATTTTTTTTTCTGTTTTCTCCCCAAAGCCCCCCAGTACGTAGTCGTGTATTTTTAGTTGTGGGTCTTTGTAGCTGTGCTATGTGGGATGCCGCCTCAGCATGGCTTGATGAGCGGTGCCATGTCCTCGCCCAGGATCCGAACCGGCGAAACCCTGGGCCGCCGAAGCAGAGTGTGAGAACTTAACCACTCGGCCACAGGGACAGCCCCAGAAAATATTTTTTATCTGATAAATTTTTCTAAAATCTTTGCTGCTTGCCCCCACTTGTCTCTACGAGAATCTGGCCCAAGACGGCATCTGATTGGAATAATCAGTAATGGAGTTACCATTTATGGAGCTCTAACCGAGTCCCGGATACTGCCCTAAGCACCCTCGTCTCCCTTCACCCAACAGCAGTGGGTCAGGTAGGTATCATCATCCTACTTTGTGCCAGAGAGGCTGGGTTGCCGGGAGGAAAGAATATGGGCTGTGGAGTCAGCTAGACATGCATTCAAGTCCCTGCTGTGTTCCCTGGCCCAGAACTTGGCCCCTCAGAACCTCAGTTAACTCATCTGTAAAATGGGTATTATAATGATCTACTGCATGGCGTTGTTGTGAGGATAAAGAAGGTGCTGTCAGTAAGGATGAACATGAGAGACAAAAACCCAGCTTGGGAGAAGAGATTACAAGCTGGTTGCTCCCCTCATGCCCATTCCTGGAGTGGCTCTGCCCTGACTTTCCTGGAAAGGGATGGTGGTGGGGGCTGGAGCTCCAAGGCCACAACCATCATGCAGCAGCTGAAGCAACAGTTCTAGACAATGTCAGAGGGGGAATCCTCTAAAACTTGGTGAAAAACCATATTGAAGTGGTATTTGGAAAGCATGACAGTGCTGGAGATCTGGTAATTTCCTGGGACTTAAGGTAACTGAGGAGAGCAGAGGAAGGACAGGCTAGGGCTGCTTCTGACTCCAGGAATATTGGATGGATATTTGTAGATTGTTTGCACAATAACCCTGATTCCCCCCCCCACCCCCCGCCAACAATAGTTTTGTGCATGTGTTTTGGGTTCTTCATTCAAACATAAAAGCCTCACTTTTCTGCAAAAATTAAAAATTGGCTCCATCTGTCTTTTTTTGTTGTTGTTGTTCACCCTGAGCTAACATCTGTGCCAATCTTCCTCTATTTTGTATGTGGGTCACTGCCGCAGCATGGCTGCCAACAAGTGGTGTAGGTTGGCACCCGGGAAGCGAACCTGGGCTGCCGAAGCAGAGCATGCTGAACTTGACCTCTAGGCCACGGGGCCAGGCCCGTCCATCAGTTTTCATTATACTAACACTTTAGTAAGGTATAAAGCTCTCAAATTAAGATGCAGAGAGCATATGAAACACAGACAGAATGCAAGCAGGTCAACTGTGGCTAGGGTAAGTAAGGACTATATCATGATTACCTCTGTGTCCCCAGAGTCATAGGATGTCATTCATTTATTCATTCATTCATTCAAAACATATTTATTGGGCTAGGAGCTATGCCCAGAGCTGAAGATATACTGATAAACAAGACAGTGAAGCCCCTGCCTTCATCGAGCATGAAGTCTAGTGGAAGAAGCAGATAATTAAGCAGTTTCTTTATTTTCAAAAATAACTTTAATTGTTTTGATAGAAAATATGTTCACATTGTTCACAACTCAAAAAATACAGAAAAATACACTGTGAAGTTTGTCCTGAGCCCCAAGTGCCTCGCTTCTCCTCCTTGGAGCCCAATATTTCCAGTTTCTGAAGTAACTTCTACAGCAAGATCGTGCAATCATTGGAGAAGTGCAGGGTGCCAGGGCAGCACATCGCAGGGACACCAGAGCCAATCCGGGGGTTAGGGAATGAATGAATGAATGAACAAATGACCAAATAAGGGGTTCCTTAAGACTCCAACTCTGTGGAGGAAGAGAAGGAAAGGTGAAAAAGAGTCACCAGCCACGGACAGCTGGTGCCTTAAGCCTTTGCTCAGCCATCAGTTGGCCAGAGCCTGTTGTGATCCCCAAGCAACTCTGTCCCTTGCCAGCCATTGATGCAGACGTCACCAATTAATCAAGCAGCAGAAACATCCTGGGCGGTGCACTTGGCTTAGCATCAGAACTGTACATTTGGAATGTTCTGCCCAAATCTGCAAATACTTGTGGATACGCCAGAACTCGCCCTCTGATTTTTGGTTCTGAGAAAAGGGGGCTCCTACCAACCTTGAGTCACAGGCTGGAGGAACTGGCAGAGGGATTCGGAGGACTTTACCGGGAAAAGTTTCTTCCTCTCTCCAAGCTCGTATGAGATTTTCTATAGTACCTGTGCCCTGAAAGAGAGTAGGGTCACAAGTGATACTAGACTTACCACGCGTCAGGCAGATAATATCTCCTTTTGGGGGGTTGAGAGAGGCCGTGTGACTTGCCCAAAATCACCCAGCCAGAGGAGCTGGAATTTGAACCCACACCTGCCAGGCTCAAAGCACTCCCTGCCCACTGCAGCCCCCTGTTTCTCACGGTGGCTGTGATGCTTGAGCAATGCATCCTCCCTGTCAGGCTTCCCGGGGAGCCCACAGTTCCCCTGCGCTACCCTCACCAAGTACCCTGAACTTCTGGGGAGAAATCCCTTTACCCTGAAGGGTACTATCAGCACAGCACCTGGGGCCTGTGAGGCTGCCAAGGGCCTAAAACAATACATTCAAAAGCCAAAAAGATTTATTGGCTCCAAATTTTTTAAAGAAAACTTCAAGATTCAAATAAATAAATATTTAATAAAATAACCACAGAGAGATTTATGTCTACTAGTCAATGATAATTGAATTCAACTCTTACACGGTTATATATAAATGTGGTATAATAAAGATTCCCAAGAACACAGTGAACCATTTTTTCCCAGTTTTATAGAGAGATAATTGACATATGCCACTGTATACATTTCATTTTTTTCTTAATAATGTTCAGAATTGTAATAATCCTTCACATCTTTTAACAATAACAAAGACACGTATATCCTATATGGGAAGTGAGGTGGATTTTGATGTGTTCGATATGACACGGGGTCTTAGGAAGGTCCTGGGGTGACATGAGGAACCTGGAGAAGGACAGGGACAAGCACTCACGCAGAGACCTGTCCTCACCTGCCAGTGGCTCTGAGATCAAGGCCACAGCAGCCAAGGCCTGCGGTCGCCAGCCTCTCCCACAGCAGTGGGGCCTCTCTGAATTTCTGTATCCCTAGTTTAAACAAAGGCCTGAGGGATGCCTGCCCAGCAGGCTGAGCCACCAAAGCTCTGGGGATCAGAGGGAACAAAAGCAGAGGGAAAGCAGAGTGCTGACGGGCCATCAGCCGCAGGGCTATAAAGAGCAGGCCCACAGAGGAAGTGGCACCAGATGGAGACCCAGACTGTGCAGCAGGAGCTGGGTGAGTAAGGACCTGAGGGGTACCCTTGGCCCTTCCTGTCCTTCCCCTGCAGAGACACTCCCAGGAGGGGGCCAGTTTCCCTGCCTTGTGGTCAGAGCCTCCTAGGATGGCTGAAGAAGACGGGGGAACTCCAGGGGAGGCAGCCTTACACTTACATGGCAGTCACTTGCCTTGCCCTAGCAATCATGGATGGGAGGGGGCATGGAACCGCAAGAAATGGCAGGCTCCTGGGGCATAGGAAGAAGGTATGGGGGCAGAAGCTGGGAAATGCCTATTCAGAGGTTCAGAATGGAAAGATACATCACAGAGTTTACATGCCTTGGTCTCTGGGCCCATAACAGCCAGAGGGAAGGGCCACGAATGGCTGCTCTGAGTCAAACAACCTGATGCACACCTGCCTGTCTTCTTTCTTCCTCTCTCCCTCCCCTCCCTCCTATCCTTCCTTGCTTTACTCTTGCTACCATCTTTTCTGTCTACTTAACCTCTATGAGCCTCAGTATCCTCATCTGTAAAACGGGGGCAATAATAGTACTCACCTCATAGGCTAATTGTGACAAGTAAATATATAATATTTGTAAAGCATTCAGAACAGGGCCTGGCGTAGAACGAGCCATTGTTAAGTATTAGCTATTATTATCCTCTTTTCTTCTTCACTTTCCTTCAATAAATCTTTTCCAATGCCGCCTGTCCCCCTCTGACCGCCCCCACCCCCACCCCCACCCCAACATGAGCTCAGCGTGGTGCTACATCAGTCACTCAGGAGACCCGGCCCTGCACTGGGATGTTTACCCAGGACATAGTCAATAGGAACCCAGATCACTACTCTGATGAGCGCTAGAAATCAGCAAAGAAAGCAAGTCGCCACAGGCTGGAGAGAGCAGGAAAGTCTCTCTGAGGAGGCAAGGCCAAGGCTGGATAGGTCTAGAAGTCAGAGAAGTAGGGAGGAAATGGTGGCATGGCCACGCCCAGACGGTCAGTTTGAGGAGCTGGGGAAGGTGAGACCACACATCACAGCAGGGGTCTGGACTAGATGGTTGCCAAGGTGTTCATATTGGCGTATGCGAGACTGAGGTGATGCTGCCACCTGTAGGGGGTGCCTGGAGGCCAGCAAGATGATGAGAGCTTCCTTTCTCAAGAGGTCACAATGCCTGTGCAGTGCTTTAGCTGCATTTTTGCTTCTAATCCTCACAATAACTCTACACGTGGAGGCTTTATATTGATGGGAAACACCTGAGGCTCAGCTAGTGGGAGGCAGAGCCAGGATCCCAATCGAAGCCCATCTATTGGACTCCAAGCCTCCTTTACTTTCTCCTGTGCTCTGTCACCTCATCCCCCACCCCAGAGGCCATGTCATTGGTGTGTGTTCTGTCTTCCAGAAACCCTTCCAACCACCAAGATGGCTCAAACCAACCCCTTGCCGGGGTCCGTGGGGCCATGGAAGGTAAGCTCACCCCCATCACACGAAAACTGAGGAATCCAACAGGGCAGTGGGTGAGATGCTGCCATAGAGCAGGCCCCAGTGCTGTGCTTTTCCATGGGACAGCGACCGACTGATAAAACATCAGTTTGTAGAAGGGTCCACCCAAGGTCCAGGTGCCGTCTCAGGAAGGATCTCTCAGGCTGCCTTGTTTGGACAGAAGAAGAATGACCCTGGAAGCCCACGACGGGTGGGAGATGATACCTAGATGATACCTTCTAGGTCAATTCTCCTCCACACTGCAAAATCATCTTAAAATAGAGCAGCTTAGAGTGGATTATGCCATCGAGAAATTGAGGGCCCAGAAGTGAAGAGAGATTTACTGCCGGATCCCAAATAAGTGATAGGACCCAGGTCTCCTGATCCCAACCTGATGTTGGTTGTAACCATTGCCTGAGGTGGCTGATCCTCAGGCTTTTCACTGATTCCCGCAACCTGCCCCCCGAACCTCTTTATCGGGTCAACTCTGAGGCCAGTTCACAGCTTTGGGAGTTGTTCTCTACCTGGGTTCAAGAGCCAATTTCTAGTTCAAGGTATGAGAGGAATTTATCAGAACTCTCCCTTTACACCTCACGTTTCTATAACGGGTGTGCCTGGAGAAACTAAGAAATAGTCCACAGGGAGTCCCTGGGAATCCCAGAATCCTGGCCTCTGGGCCACACTTAGGCAGGAAGCATGGCAGAATAAGAGTCTACAGGCCTTGGCCTGTCCAGTGGGCCAACTATCATCCCTGGCAGACCATTCCTATCGTAAACCAATCCCCCTCACCTCAACCTCAGCCTGGGCATATGAACACCACCAACCAGTGGTATTAATTCAAACCCCTTCCTACCCTGTCTACACTGGAAGAGACCTCATCAGGCATCCTGGGTTATATAGCTAGTGATGGAAAACACAGGATCACACAAGTTAAGCTGTTGGCCTGGGCTTCTGTTTCCCCTGCTGTACCACATTCTAGCTCTCTTTTCCCATTCAATCCCATTTCAGATAACCATCTATGACCAGGAGAACTTTCAGGGCAAGAGGATGGAGTTCACTAGCTCCTGCCCAAATGTCTCTGAGCGCAGTTTTGATAACGTCCGGTCTCTCAAGGTGGAATCTGGCGCGTGAGTACAGACCTCAGCAGAACCTCAGGCCCCTTATTTCTGGTCCCTTCAGACATGGGATCATAAAGTTGGGGCTTGGGGAAGAAAGATGTTCCCCTATACTCTAATCAGTATATGTATGGAGAGAGGCATCCGTACTGAAGTAATCTCAAAAGAAATCACTACATGTGTAATTTAGTAATTCAAAGCTAAAAGGAACATGAGGTTCTTAGTGGATTGGTACCAGATTTGGGGGGATTAAAGAAATATATTCCATAGGGTGGGGCACCGACAGTTATCAGATCCCTGCTTCTGGAGCCCATAGGCTGCTACCTAGGATTCTCTCAGAACAGCCACAGAACTGTTGAGTTTTTCTTGTCTGCAGAAAATAGAGAGGAAACCATCAAGCTGCAGCCTCTTTACAGCTGACTCCCCTCTTGCATGTCCTGGAGCAGACTCTGCCAGCTAATTTCTCTATGTGAAAAGGGACTCAACCCCAGGACTCGAGAGTCATAGTTCCTAGATAGTCTTCCAGGAGTTCCCTGTTGAAGGCTAATCTCCTTGGTGAGGAAGAGCCTCTCTAGTTTCGTCTTCTGGCGCTTGGCTGAGTGGTCGAGGCCTGTATCATCTGCCTGAAAACACGTAAGGAAGGACTCTCCTTAGGCCTAGGCAGACCTGGCTTTGCATGTGGAGAAGCTTTTGTAAGTTGCTCACTACCAAAATCAAGCTCTTCAACCCTTTAAAAGAAGTCATACTTTAAGGTGTCATCAGTAACTGAGACCTGGTTCTGAAAAACCGATCTGAGGTGTTTTAGTAAATGAAGTATAGGTATGCGACAGCAAGAGAAAGAACCCACAAAGTGACGAGGGAACAAGAGACCAGCTCTCTCCATCAGCTGCCCAGTCATCCCTTTGCTTCCTTAGGAAGAAGCCAATAGGTTGGCTGGAGCCAAAGCAATAGTCAGTCACTAGAACCTGAACCTGGAGCTCCAAGTAGAGAATAAGGTAGCTTGGAGAGAAAAGAAAGACAACTTTAGACTGACTTTGCTGATACACGTTTCTCAGGCCAGTGATGTAGACCCTTTCAGTGGATTATCCCCAAACAAATATCACACTCACAATGCTGCTTAGTGCAGCTGCCAGCTCATCCCCCACCTCTTGTGATAAACGTAGGCCACGTAGGTTCTGAACACCATGAACAAACGCCACTACATACTTGTCTTTGGCAGCTGGATTGGTTATGAGCATACCAGCTTCTGTGGGCAACAGTTTATCCTGGAGAGAGGAGAATACCCTCGCTGGGATGCCTGGAGTGGGAGTAATGCCTACCACATTGAGCGCCTCATGTCCTTCCGCCCCATCTGTTCAGCTGTGAGTCTCTGAAATTTTCACTTCTGTGCATGTAGGGGATGGGGCAAGAGAGGGTGCGTATGAACTCACTCTTATGTTACTTCCCATGAGTTATGCTGAAGTGCAGCAGGAAGAAAGATAAAAGGAAAAAAAAGGAAAACACTGTTCCCTCTGTTTCTAAGCCTGCCATTTCATTTTTCTCTACTAGATGACATTTTCATTAAGCTAAAAGGACCTTCTCATGGGTGGCAGGAAGTGGATACTCAAGAGCCCAGATCTTCAAAAGTGCAATAGAATAACTAGTGAGAGCATTTACCATGCAGTTAAAAATAAATCCTTGGCCAGTTAAATTTCAATCTGTGACATTTTACCTAGAAAGAGGGAAACGCTGAAGTAACCCTTCAATAAACAGGATGACGGAAGACACAGGCAAGTCTTCCAGTCTTTTATCTTCGATTCATAATAACCTTGTTTCTAAGACTAAGCATTATCCAATTATGCACCAGACTGGGATGCTTCTAAAGTCCCCGGAGAATTCAGGATGACCTTCAGGGGTGTGTTGAAAATGATCCCTACATTGGGAGTGAGACCAGACTAGAACCTTTCCAAATATTTTTTTAAATCATGTGACTTTCTCCTGATTTTTAGTTGTTAACGATCTCACTTTAGTTTAAGGCCTTACCAAAATGCAAGTAGTGGAGAAGGTAACCTAAACAGCCTTCGGTCTGTAATGTACTGCCCTAGCTGGATGTGTTTTCTGAATCACTTTAACTCCCATTTTTTTCCCCTAAGGTATAATTTACATGTAGTAAAATGCACAGGTCCTAAGCGAATATTCTCAAGTTTTGGAAAATATGAACACCCATGCAACCAACACCCTACTCAGATATAGAATATCATCCCCTAAGGTTTCTTCGTGTCCCTCTCCAATCAATTGCTCCTCCCCACTTTCTATCACAGGGCTAGGTTAGCCTGTTTTTGTATGTCACGGTTAGTTGTTTTCTTACAAATATCTGTATTGCCTGAAATATTTTCACAATCAGCATGTACTTCCTTCTGTAAACCAGAAGTGTTTTGAATTAGAAAACTATGGTAATTAAAGTTTAAGATGACAGCGATATTCTGGTACCAAACTTTTCTCTTTTTTTAATTTCTGGATTACAGAATCATAAGGAGTCTAAGATTACCATCTTTGAGAAAGAAAACTTTATCGGACGCCAATGGGAGCTCTCTGATGACTACCCCTCCTTGCAAGCCATGGGCTGGCTCAGCAACGAAGTTGGTTCCATGAAGATACAATGTGGGGCGTAAGTGCAAAAAGAGTTGGAGCACATTTCAAACTCTTGCAAGTGTAAACCTTGTGAATATTAATACATCAATGGTCATGTCCCATTAGATTTCACTCATTGATATATTGGTATGGCTGTCAACATTCTAGTTTAGTAATTTTGAATCTCAAGTTCTTGGTACCAACTATCAGTTAAGGTCACACTTTCTCCTCCTTTAGACATTCCTCTATGGAAGCATTTATGTTGACTACTGTTACATCTTTTTTCATGATCAAGGTTAATTTTCAACTAGTTGTAGCCATATTACACTCACAAATGGTGCCTGGCATAATTGGGATGGCTATTGTTTTTTAAGCCTAAAAGCATTCTGCACCTATCATGCGGAGGAAAGAGGCTCAGGTTTTGGGGTGTTGACCAGGTAGTCCTAACTAGTTCTAATAATCCATTGTGCTTTGGATTTTCTAGCTGGGTTTGCTATCAGTATCCTGGATACCGTGGGTATCAGTATATCTTGGAATGTGACCATCATGGAGGAGACTATAAACACTGGAGAGAGTGGGGTTCTCACGCTCAGACTGCCCAGATTCAATCGATTCGCCGTATCCAACAGTAGTGGATTAAAAGCTCCAAGTAAGAGAATCCCTCAAGCATGAGACCTTGCTAAGCAATCTAGAATGAGTTTTATGTTCTGCTCAGACATTGCTTCCAAATGTTAGCTACTGAAATCCACAATAAATGTCATTTAAAAAAAAATCTTTGTAGACTGAATTAACTACCATGCTTTATATAAATCACTTATGTGGCTGAGAAGTTTTAAAGGCAAGCTGCAATAAGACCCAATTCTCTTTTGTGTCCTTGCAAGGCACTTACCAGGCACCAGGCCAAGGACAATTATTCCCTATCTCAAAGAACATTAATGCATACAACCCAAATGTATCGGTCTATAACAATCTATAACAGACACAATTTAGGTAAGCGTTTTTGAATCTTTTCTCCTCATCCTCTACTCTTCACCTTGTGACAAATCAATGCCAAACTTAAGAAGTTTCTCAAATATGCACTACCATACCTTTCTACATAAAGTTATGAATAAGTCCAGAATCTTGGCAACTCATTCTAGTTGCTTAGCTCGATTTTGGTTTCTCACCTCAACTGGAAGAACATAAGGTTCAGTATCATGCAACAAGGTAGGACAGGTGCTCTCACAGCTGAGTTTTCAATAAACATACCAATTCCAAGCACCTTAATAGCCAGCTTGATCTTTTTTAAAAGCAAGAACATATGACCATGATATATTTAAGACAAATTATTTGTACATTTGACTCTGAAAAAAACACCATCAGTCTCACAATCTTAATTTAGTTTTCAGTATTTTTTTAAATTAAAGCACACAAAAGAGAATAACACAAACACCTCAGAAACTTTAAATTTTTTTATTCAACAATGTACACTTATTGTCTCTTAATTTGATCTACAAATTTCTCAAGTTTTTTTTTCTGATAAAATAAGTAAATCTGGGTATGGATGTAGAGTGTTTGTAATTTATATTTTTAAAACACTGAACATGAAGTAAGACATTAATAAAGGAAGAGCATCACAGAACTGACACTTCCTCAGAATCCATGACATCAGAAACAGCTATGGCAAATACCTAAGCATTTAGCAAAGAAGGGTAAATTTCTGGCCACTGTTCATTTATCTAGAAAAGGCCTATCTTTTTGACTGGGCAAAACAAAAACTGAAAAAAAATTTTTTTAATTGGGAGAGGGAAGGAAAAACATCCTCTAATATAACTGTAGTCCACTAATTATCCTTTACCCTAGATTAAGAGGTAACTCAGCTCCTAAGTGCCGATGCACATAAGACAAAGAAATTACTTTGCTCCTCCGAAACATTCTAAGACTGAACATAAGTGAATTACTGACAGATGCCGAGGAGTAGCCATAGCTATCTAAGATGATGTTAACACTCCTGTATTTACGCCTTTTAAGGCCATGCATTATGGGCTACCTTTCAAGCCTTGACTAGTAGACTGTTTTTTTTATCTGTTTCAGTGAAGATACAGAAGGAAGGGTTTTATTGTGTTTTCAAAATCAACAACATACATCAGGAGCACACTTGATGATAGAGACGTAACCCTCTTCTATACATAGGAAAAAGCGATAAAACAGAAATATTTCTTTTATATTTAGGAGCATGGGGAAAATACCATTAGTATTATCTTCTACTTAAACTTATTAGCCTCTTCTACAAAGGTCCTGAAGGGATTACAAAACAATCTTTTAAACGATGATTTGACAAAACCTGACCAGTATATCTACACAACCTTTTAAGCACACATACATGTGAAGTAAAGCTATTTAGTACATGCAGACTGCAGCAATTTAACCAAATTTGCCCAATTTCTAAACTTGTTCTAATCAGCTCAGGCAATTTTTAAAAGATACACATTATCTTTACAACAACCTGTGCTTTGATCTTTAAACAACTGAATGATTCTAATTTCAAATCAATCATTCATTCAGTAAACCAAATTTATGCTAAAGCAATAAAGGTAAAAAGGTTATCCTACCCTTAAACCAGATTTAAGACATAAAATTGTCACAAAACTCCAGGTGGCAAAGGTCCTTCCTTCTTTTCAGTTTAAATTACTCCCCATTTCTACATGGCCAAATAAACCAAAATTTCACTGAGGAAGTAAGACCTTCCAACAGTTTGTAAAGCTGATAAAACTGCCCTGTTTCAAGAAAAGCCCTTTAATAGATACAAGTCAAGCTCTCATTTAAACTGAAGTTTATTAAAAATAGGTGCCAGTTTTCCTCTCTTCTAATTCCACTGATGAGCTAGCCCAGAACTGTAACTTTGAGCCATGTTTCTAAAGATGGTAAAGCTAAGAACAGCAAAGTAATAAGGATAGATCACTTTTGGTAATGACACACAAATTAAACTTCCAAAACATGTGCATAGCTTTATTCATCTACTTAGATCTAACCTTTTCATGGAGCTTCGGCAAAATTCGAGTGTGCAAAATGCATTTCTAAAACGCAATGCAAGCAAAGCTTTTCACATTTACACTGGCAGGAAATACAGAGAAACTAACAAGTCACATTAGGGAGAGTTCAGATCTTTTTTTTCTTTTAATGACAAGAATTGCACAGTTCATTATTTTGAGACAATTGTTGCAGACATAAATACTTAAAATTTTCTAAGCAAGGTGCTTTAACAATAAAAAAATTTTAAGTTGGAAAGAGCCAATAACTTGGATCATAGCTCACATAGGATTCCAAATTAAAGGGGACTCCGTTATCTCCCTAGATTTTGCAAACAATGCTTTTTATAACACTTTCTTTTTTTGTTTAAACACTAAAGGAGACAGCAAGCTGAAACTTTTTTCAAAGCACACGAGAAATGGTGTCATCACATCACTTGAAGAAGGTGCTGAGGGGAGAGGGAACGGGAGAGAAGAATCCTTTTACTATTTCCCACTACAGAACAGCCACTAACAGACTAAGAACAAAAAAAGAAACAACAAAAAAAGTAAATTAAATCACTTCCCCAGTTTATAAAATAGTTCCAGTTTGTGACAATATAACTTTAAACAGAGAGCACCAGTTGGGTGATAGAATGAGCATTCCATACTGCATAAAAATTCGTGAGGTGGTAAGAACCATCAACTATCTCAGGCATTACTACATGGCCTTTCCAATTTTTTTTTTTTAATATACATGCAAGGCACATTGATATAAAAATAGATCTCTGGCCAACAAACATATTAAATAAGCAAATTAAAATTTTGGCTTTGCAATATTGGCAACATCAAAATATAACCAGATAGCTTTGGACCACGTATCTTTCTCATATTCCTCCACCCAGTTTGGTGTTTTTCCTCCATTATTTTGGGTTCAATCGCCCTCAAGTTTGGGTATGTGCTTGAGAAATGACTTCCTCTTGTCAAGTAGCATTCCTACCAAACTTAAGTTTATTTTCACTAAGTAAAAATACACAAGAGAAGCAGAACAGTTGGGGTTTGATTGATTTCATTAAACTAAATCTGATTGGCTCGGGGCAGCATTATGTCTCCTCTGTATACAAACAAAAGATAAGTCCCCAGCTTATATAGTAGACAATCGTTTTCTTTCTAAAAGACAGATCAGCAACAAACCAATGGTAGAACCTCCTTTAAGCCATTCTTCCCAACTCCTCTTTTTGAGGCAGAGAGAGGGAATAACAGAAACAAAATTAAAACATTTTCAGTAGTAGAAGACATTTTAAGGCCAAAAGTGTAATACTAACAGAATTTTTATTTTCCTAACTTATTGTCCTTCACAGGCCAATACCATAGTTATTTGTACTGATTCCCTCTCAAAGAGAATTTTTAAATTCATTCACTTGTGTTAGTGGCTGTGCTACAGGAAAGGTATCAAAGCAATCTATAAAGGTCTGGTATATAGTAATGTAAAAAGTGCATCACATTCTTGATTTTCAATTTTTCATAGCAGCAGCAGGATTACTCCAAGACAGAAAACAGTTGTATTTTCATTCTAAAAATGCAACAATACCTAATGAAATGTATTCAAAATCACGAAAGGATTCTCTCCTATAGAGAATAAACGAAACAGACTAATAACAAACCAGGGCAAACTAAAGGCTTTCATTCATATTTACATATTAAAACCATTTTTGTTAACATCAAATCTTTACATCTAGCAAAAGAAATATTTAAGAATAAAGCAGACATTACTAAAGCAGTATCCATTTTTGGAGCCTTTGTTTAGCACCTGAGGAAAAAAGGTTATACGGAAAGCTATACAATTTACCTCAAGTTGGTTTGTTGGTCTGAAGAGTAAAACTCTGATACACAATGAATGTGAAACTGAACTGGAAAACAAATGCTTGTCTCTCTCTTAATAAGGCTGTAGAAAAGGGATAGTGCATTGGAAAATAAATGTAGCTATTTTAATAAGGCTGTAGAAAAGGGATACTGCAGTATTATAAAATGGCTTTAGAACTCTGGCCATAAATGAAATTTTATAAATAATAGGGAAGTCTGATTCAGCAATCCCATCACACGTGAGAATGGCTGTTCCATAGGTTTCTAACCCATAACTGCTATTTGACACTCCCAGTAATGCAAAAGCAACATACCTTTCATGCTTCACTGGGTGTTTTTATTATGCAGACAACTTAAAACTCTATTTCTAAGATCTTTCTTGAATACCAAAACGGTATGAAACATAATTTAAAACTCAGTAAAGTCGTGCTTTCGAGTGGAGCCAATGATTCATCATTCTTTAAACCAACTCAAGGTGGTCCTGGTTCCAACACATCTGAACAGATTGAAGTGTATTTAAAATGAAACATTTTAAGATACTCAAAGCAGAAGCCCATCTTTCTCACCATAAAAGAATCCTGGTGCTCTGTCACTTAATCACATTAATAAAGATAACATCAATATTAAGAACTAATGATAACCTCCATGTCTCTGCAAACTCAGAGCAGCTATGATACTTCTAGTCTTGTCTGCCCGCCCCTCCCTTTTAAACAAATACCAATACTTTGGGGTGGGGGTGGGGGGGTTAGTGAATCCTACCCTCTTTTAAAACCCAGCAGTTAAATTCTGGGTAGGACAATCAAAAGACACTGCCCAATCAGAATCTACCTCAACTGGTACAGCTGATGATAAGAACTATTGTCCATAACATGTATTTGTCCCACTAGTGTGAGTTTTGCAGTCAGCATAGGTATACAAGAGAGGTCATGTGTTATTTGAGGATATGGCCCAGTGGCATAACTATATTCATAATCCTTGGAAATGGGACTTTTAATCTATTTCTCTGTAGAAAGCCTTGAAAGAATGACTCCCTTCTTATTTAGCGGAATTTAAAATCAAGTCAAGTCCTCTTCCAGATTTCCTTGCCTGTGGCCATTTGATGTGACATACAATTTCACACTAAATGGCTTTTTTCATGTTTAAAATACATTTACAGCGAAAGATAAACCATTAGGTGCCTTCAATTGCGTTAGCAACAAGGCCCACAACCAAGTATGAAACTACTGCTGTTATGTAATGTTTTGTGAAGGAACACATTTTGTGGCCAACACTCATAATTGAAATTTGTCATATTTTCCCTAAAAATTATTATTTGAAAAAACAATGCAGCACTTTTTTTCCTTTATAAAGTTTTTGCAGATTCTGAGTGATGACTGAGTAAACAGATGATTAAGGAGAACAGCAAAATCCTAAAACGAAGAGAACCTCTCCAGCCATTTATTTCAAGAAAAAACAAACTGGTATTAACAAATTCCTAGTTATTGTCTATCCCCTCCTAGAAAGCAGAGGAGGAGGAAGGGCTAACTAGAGAGGCTATAAATACACTTTATGTGAAAGTTCATTACTAAGGAGGTCAGAAGAAAGGCTATGCAATTAACTTCAGTTCAGCAAAGTGGGGGTGAATAAAGAGAAAGATAAATACACCCTGTCTTTTGTGGGGAAGGGGAATTATTCAAGACCTCTAC